TGCAGAGAACAGAAACAAAGGTATTTAGAATAGAATAGCGCTGGAAGGGACCTTGGAGGTCTTCCAGTCCAGCCCCCTGCTCAAGCAGGAGAACCTATACCATCTCGGACAAGTGACTGTCTAGCTTCTTTTTAAAAACCTCCAGTGATGGAGCGCCCACGATTTCTGGTGGCAAGCTGTTCCACTGATTAATTGTTGTCACTGTCAAGAAGTTTCTCCTTAATTCCAGGTTACTTCTCTCTTTGATCAGTTTCCAACCATTGTTTCTTGTCCTGCCCTCTGGTGTTTTGGTGAATAACGTGACCCCCTCTTCTTTGTGGCAGCCCCTCAAATACTGGGACACTGCTATCATATCTCCCCTATTTCGTCTTTTCTTTAGACTAGCCAAACCCAAGTCCCGTAGCCATTCTTCGTATGTTTTAGTCTCCAGGCCTTTGATCGTCTTAGTTACTCTTCTTTGAATTTTTTCCAAACTCGCAACTTTTTTTTTGTGATATGGTGGCCAAAATTGTCTGCAGTATTCCAGGTGTGGTCTTACTAGGCTTTTATATTTAGGAGGCTGGAGGCTAAAACATACGAGGAACATTTGCAGGAATTGGGTATGTCTAGTCTAGAGGAAAAAAAAGGCTAGGGGAGACGTGATAGCAGAGTTCCAATATTTGAGGGGCTCCTACAACAACAAGGGGGTGTCAAAATATTTTCCAAAGGACCAAAAGGCAAGATAATAAACAATGGACGGAAACTAACCAAGGAGAGAAGCAACCTAGAACTAAGGAGGAATTTCCTAACAGTGAGGACAATTAACCAGTGGAACAGCTTGCCTCCAGAAGCTGTGGGTGCTCCATCACTGGAGGCTTTCAAAAACAGATTGGTGAACCATTTCTCTGAAATGCTACAAGGTGGACTAGAAGACTTCCAAGGTCCCTTCCAAATCTGTTAGTCTATGTTCTATGACAGAGGTCTTCAAACTTGGCCCTTTTATGACTTGTGGACTTCAACTCCCAGAATTCCTCAGCCAGGCACACTGGCTGAGGAATTCTGGGAGCTGAAGTCCACAAGTCATAAAAGGGCCAAGTTTGAAGACCCCTGTTCTATGATCTGGACAAGACTCTGTCTAGAAGATATCCGTGTGACAGGATAGTCAGAAAAAAGATCTCCCTGCCTGGCTCCTTCCATGATCAGAAGGTACCCCTCCTTTGTCACCAGAGAAACTGTCTAGAACAGGGGTAGGCAACCTTGGCTCTTTTATGACTCGTGGACTTCAACTCCCAGAATTCCTGAGCCAGCCATGCTGAGGGGAAAGGGAGAGGTTTCCAAGCTGAGCCATGCTGGCTCAGGAATTCTGGGAGTTGAAGTCCAACAGTCATGAAGGGGCCATAGTTCCCCCATGCTGGCTCAAGAATTCTGGGAGTTGAAGTCCACGAGTCATAAAAGAGCCAAGGTTGCCTACCCCTGGTCTAGAATAAACGAAATACTTTGAATCTTTGTTGGAAAAGTGAACAACATGAAGGGACATTTCGTTTGGTGAACATGTTAAAAAAAAAAACCAACCCAAAATTTTGGATACAAACAATTCTGAAGATTTTAAAGGTTAAAGTAGAGCTGAAACCATAGCTTTTTCTTTTGGGATCAATGGAAAGGCGACTAGAAACAAGTCATGGATCTTCCTTTTTCTGTGTGACAACCGCAGTGACTCTATTATATGCTCACAAGACCCACAACGGAGGAATAGTTGTGAGGATGATGGAATTTGCGGAGACGGCTGAATTGACTTTTTTTGATGGGAGAAAAAACAACGTCTACATTTATTGCTGACTGGAAACCCCTTATAGGCTTTTTGCATAAAATGGGGGGGGGGAAATGCACTTAGGCTTTGTGGTTTCGTGATTAGAAAAAAAATATAAATAGAAAAGAGTGAGCTTTTTTGTAATCAAAAATAAGAGATAATTTTGAAAATCTATTTATATTTGCTTCAAAGGGAACTGGAAACTTCTCTTTCCATTTCTTTTTATTCTTGCTTGCTTGCTTTTTCCTTGCTTCGCTTCTTTTACTCTTTATTAATAAACTTAGTCAACATTTATTTTTTATAAAAAAACGCCCCTTGAACTGGACTTACTTGGGGGGTGCCCTGCCTTCAAATGGGTTGAAGGCCAGAAGAGACGACGTTTCCTTCTCGTTGGCCAGGAGTTTCCCGGATAAGTGAATGATCCACTCGTTCTGCTCGTAGGTCTTCCGCAGAAAGAGAGTTGGGGGGGGGGGAGAGAAAACACACATTTTGAGAAGCGATGAAAATGAAACGGATTTTAAGCCAAACGTGTGAACTGGAAGCCTCTGACTAATACAAGATAAAGCAATGTATTAATATATGCAGAAAACAAACCCCATATTTCATGTGTTTATTAGAGTTGGGAGAGCTCTAAACTGATTATAGGTAGATCCTCGGCTTATGACAACATTTAAGCCCAAAATTTCGCTTGCTAAGTGAGACAATTACGTGAATTTTGCCCCATTTTACCACCTTTCCTGCCACAGTCGTTAAGCGAATCGCTGCAGTGGTTCAGCTAGTGACCCGGTTGTGAAGTGAATCTGGGCTTCCCCATTGACTTTGCCTGTCAGAAGGTCGCAAAAGGGGATCACGTGACACCTCCCTTCCCGGGACGCTGCGACCGTCATAAACATGAACCAGTTGCCAAGCGTTGGGATGTTGATCACGTGACCCTGGGGACGCTGCAAAGGTTGTAACTGTGAAAAATGGCCATCGGTTGCTTTTTTCAGTGCTGTTGTAACTTCGAGTGACCACTAAATGAACTGTTGTTAAGTTCAGGACTACCTGTAGACAGTTTAGAACACACGTGTCAGCTAGAAAAAGCTTCTACTGGGACTCTTCAGAAGGATGAACATGTCAATATTGAGAAACAATATGGCTTCATATCAATTCTACACTAAAGCAAAACAGAGCTATGGCTTGGCAAATAGAGCATTGCCATAGCTGTGTGGCAAGGACCAAGTCCTCACAATGACTCATAATTTGGAGCAACAACAGTGATGTTGACCACAGCCCTTGTAGCTTTTTCAGGTTCCTGTGAAGCCAAGGGTAACCCAAGTGAGCAATTAAACCAAGATAGCCACTTCTGTATCCAATCTCCTAGAACAGGGGTAGGCAGCCTTGGCTCTTTTATGACTCGTGGACTTCAACTCCCAGAATTCCTGAGCCAGCCATGCTGAGGGGAAAGGGAGAGGTTTCCAAGTTGAGTCATGCTGGCTCAGGAATTCTGGGAGTTGAAGTCCACGAGGCATAAAAGAGCCAAGGTTGCCTACCTCTGTCCTAGAACAAAGATGAAAGTTTGACCATGTGGGTCAAACCCAAGCCCAACCTTTTGAGTGGCATCTGGACACCTTTCCTAACACCCTAATAAGTTTCTGTTGTTTTCATGACAGTCTTCTACCGATGGATTTTCTTAGGAGCAAAGAGCTTGTAAATGTTTACTCAACTGGATTAAAGAGAACTTCCAAGGAGAAGAGAAATTGAGTTGGGGGTTGAACTAGAAGCCCTCCAAGGTCTCTTTCAACTCTATTCTGATTGACTGATCGATCGACTGATTAAAATTCTGAGAAATTCTCACAGAAGCAGAATGTGGTTGTCGCTTGCCCTGAGTGACGAAATGGCAAAGTGGTTGTATATCCGGTCTTCCACTTGGGTGCATGTCTCTTTTCAACCATCTGTAACCACCCTACTTTTCCCCTGCTTTCTTGAAATCCTGGGGGAAATTCTTAAGGGGCTTTTTCAGTGCTAAAATTGAACTCTGTCCTTGAGAAATGGTTGGAAGATATTTGCTTCCCTCAGAGAAATTTGAAGAAATTTTTCTATCCAATTTCTCTGCCCACAAGTTTGGTGACGATTTTGAAAGGTCTTTTATGGCCAGTTCTTGCTACTTAAAACATCCATCATAATGAGTAATTCAACTTTCCCGTGTTCTCTCAAATAAACACTCTGAAGCCAGTACTACTCCTTGTTGAAGTGCCACTGTTAGGGGGAAAAAAAACCCCTTGTGAGCAACTGTGGAATGGAAACTCCCAGAGGGTGCTGGAAGAAAACAGAACACAAGGACACTGAGAGGATATCAACATGGTTCTCATCCGAAGAGGACACCCCGGTCCCACTCTCAAAAACCCTTCAGCTCCTGACAGGGAACATCACAGAACAGCACCTCATCTGACAGCACAGAACATAAAATAACGAAGTTGGAAGGGACCGTGGAGGTCTTCTAGTCCAGTCCCCTGCTCAAGCAGGAGACCTTATACCATTTCAGACAAGTGGCTGTCCAGTCTCTTCTTAAAAGCCTCCAGTGATGGAGCACCCACAACTTCTGAAGACAAGTCCTTCCACTGGTTAATTGTCCACTGGTTAATTGTTGCTAATATCAGGGTGGAATCCTGGTTTCTTTCCCACATTAGTGGCCTGAGTTGAGACTGAGGGCCCAAGCCCAGCAAGGAAGTTTGGAGGACCCTTTTTCCAATGCTCCCCCCTCCCTCCAGGATTCTGGAGGGAAGTAAAGAGGGGAAGAAAGAAAGAAAGAAAGAAAGAAAGAAAGAAAGAAAGAAAGAAAGAAAGAAAGAAAGAAAGAAAGAAAGAAAGAAAGAAAGAAAGAAAGAAAGACTTTCAGAGTCCAACTGCTCAAATTATTTCAAACCCACTAACTCATCAATGAGAACAATCAGAATGGCTTGCTTCTGGATGTTGTGGATGCTCCACCACTGGAGATTTTTAAGAAGAGACTGGACAGCCACTTTTATGAAATGGTATATGGTCTCCTGCTTGAGCAGGGGGTTGGACTAGAAGACCTCCAAGGTCCCTTCCAACTCTGTTATTCTGTATTCCTTCAAAATAGCTGTGCTCTGGGTACTCTTGCCCAACTGCCCTTCCCACGGAGGTGCTTTTTCTTTGCAGTTCTCATCCAGGATCAGCTCCATTTTCAAACTCAGCCTCTCTTTTGCTGGCTTCTCCCCCCTTCTTCCCATGGGGTGCAGTTCTGTCCAATTTTGGGAGTATTTGCTGGTGGACTCCTAAGTCCCTTTCACATCACTTCTTCCCAACCTTCAGCTGAGTTGGAAAGAATAATGAAAAGCAAAGGGTTATTATATCTGGCTAATCATATATTAGAAATGTTTTCTTGCTAAGTAATAGCGTGTTACAATTAAAAGCACTTCTGGTATAGCAATTAAGCAACGGCATTTTTTTCCCCTAATGCTCTTTGGAAGTGGGTGATCCAGATGGATCCACAAGTGTATACAACTTTTGATGTGCCAATATTCAAAAAGTCCTCATTCAACCACGACAGGCTTTAGGCCTCCTTTTTCTGCTTCCAATGGAAATCTGGGCATTTGTCCCAAAAGAGGAAGTTTTTCTAGAATCCGCCAGAAGCAGTGAAGAGTTCCAAAAAAACAATCTGTTGTGAGACAGGCAGAGGAGGGATGGAAATGGCTTCTCCCATACTTCTTAGTTGCTCTTCAGGAACCAGTCAAGAGTTGGATGGGCTCAACAATTCATCGGCTACCCCCCACAGTCCCGGCACCATGCCACTGAATGGAACCTAGAAGCCATTCGGCATTTTAAATTATGTTTTAATCCCCCCCCCCATTTGTTCATTGGTTCTATCGTGTCATAAACCCACTTCAATTGTCCCACCTGCATTGGAAAGATGACCATTAGATTAATAATAATAAGAAGAAGCAGAATGAAAAGACCCTGCAGCTTAAATATTCCCCTGGAAATAGTTTCTCCTTTTCCCTGTCAGGCACTTGAACCACAGATTCCAGTGAAGAAGACTCTGTGTGGCTTTCAATGGAGTCACCCCAGACAGAAGAAAACTTAGTCCTTAATTCCCTGAAGGAACTACCAAAGGTTATTAGGAATGCCCTTGCTCCAGATTCTGGATTCTTTAGAGGTTCAAAAAGATGTTTCAAGGATCAGTGACTTTCACAGCCATCCAGTGCATGGCATTATGACATTACTTGCACCATGGCAAAAATAATGTAGCAGTGACATTTTTACTGTAGACTTGTTTTCCTGGAAATACTTGCAACCCCCCCCCCCTCCCTTGTTACAGTCAGATGGACATTCTTTTTAATACTATGGTCACCTCAGAAGATAATTGCAAACCTGCCCCTTGACCCAGAGTGCTGGAAACTTAAAAAGTTTGCTCCGTTTCAATATTCAGGGGAGGAACTTTGCAAAAGCTAAAGCTAGAATATCAGAAATGAAGCAGGATGAAGGCATTTGTAATAGTTAGAGAAACTGTTATTTTCTCTACTTAGAGAAACACAACAGACAGAGAAACAGTAGTTGGAGAAACATGAGAAACGATAAAAAAAAATTAGGAAAAATTCTAACTGTGCTCATAATTCTACTACGCTAGCCAGGCAAGTACATGTGTGGCCGAAGGACTTAAACTCTTCACAATCTTTCTCTGCAGTCACAAGGTTTTACCCTGGCAGTGTTCTGTCCCCGTTCCGACCCACACACACAAACAGCCAGCCGAGGGTTAAAGACTTCTCCAGACACCACTTTACAGATAAGAAACTTGGCAGCAGCTCCGTAGCTGCCTGCCAAGACCTTTTACTCCAAACACACAGAAACAAAAACAATACACACAGTTTAAAGCCACAGCACACTACTTTGCCAGAGATTCAGCTTTTGTCCGTCACAGAGGTCCAAATGGCCACCACCACCCTTTTATAGCCTGGGGGTGTGGTCCAGTGACTCAGCTTAATCTCTGTCACGTCTCTTTTTCTGCTGCGCACGCTTGTTGCTCCTACGCTGGCGTGGATCCAGCCACAACTTTTCTTCCTCATTATCCGACACACCTGGCTCCTGGCCAATCTGAGAAACACCTGGCTCCTGGCCAATCTCAGAACCACCTGACTCCTGGTCAATCTCTTCTCCGTCAGAAGACACCTGAGGCATTGCCAAAGAGGAAGGTCCTGGAGAGGGAGGCCTGGCCATCTCCTCTCCTTCATGTTCAGAGCCTTCTTCCTCCGATAAGAGGGGCTCACAAGACGGAGCCACAACAGGCAGTTCTCAGGATCTGTGATGGATAGCAGCATTTGGATGGGCACCTTAAACATCTCAAGTGGTATCTCTCTGGATAGGCGAATCTCAACTCTTGTCACGATCTTGGGAAACAAGGTTAGTCTTAATTTAAGTGCCAGATACTCAGTTGGGTCAACTGTTTTAGAATCGCCCCGCTCAGCGGGATACTCACCTGGAAGGCAGCAAACCACATGAGCCAATCCAGGCGATAATGGTAGGGGCTGATCAGGCAGGGCCGCCTCTGCAGATTCCCTGGTTTACACTTGAATTCATACTCTTCCCAAACTGCAGCAGGATCATTGGGGTCTGAACTGGAAGTCCCTTGGATTACAATCTCGGTTCTCTCTTTGGTTATGCTGCAAGAGAGAAGAGGGGTGTGTGTGACATGATAGCAGTGTTCCAGTATTTGAGGGGCTGCCACAAAAAAGAAGGGGTCAAATTATTCTCCAAAGTACCAGAGGGCAGGAGAAGAAACAATGGTTGGAAACGGAACAAAGAGAGAAGCAACCTGGAATTAAGGAGAAACTTCCTAACAGTGAAGAAAAGCTTGCCTCCAGAAATCGTGGGCACTCCATCACTGGAGATGGAGTCTGGACAGTCACTTATCTAAGATGGTATATAGGCTATCCTGTTTCAGCAGGGGGCTGGACTAGAAGACCTCCAAGGTCCCTTTCAACTTCTATTCTATTCTATTCTATTCTATTCTATTCTATTCTATTCTATTCTATTCTATTC